ACGACAGAATTGAGATCAAAAACTCCATCTATTTTGACCCACAAATCGGTTCTGACAAAGAACTGGTCGCTCCGTCGCCGCCAACTGTGCGCTCGTTTTGGGAGATAATCACCGATTGGTTCAAAAGCGGCGAAAAGTGTGAATATCTTGTGGACGGAAAAGTGGCCGCCAGTGAGCGCTTGAAAGAGCGCCGCTTTTCCCAAAGTCTTGAGACGTTAAGTGTTGACGAATTGAATCAATTGCTGCAACAGTTGCGTCTTCAGGAGGCGAGTCCTCAGCGGTTAAACAATACAACTTTAATTAAACGTATCGAAGCGCACAAACAGACTGTTAACGGATCAGCCAATGGTGTAGAGGCGGCGGCAAAGTCTTCGGCCAAAGAGCTTGAGTTTGCCACCGATGAAGAGATTGAGAACAACCGGCGCTTTCGTCTTCTGCGGTACCGATGGGAAGGAGTGTCTAATTTCAAGAACTATCGGTTCGTACCGCTCGACGAGAAAGAGATTCCTCCGGATTTGTTTGACACCAAACCCAGAGTTCAGAGCGCTTTGAGTACCAAAAGGCAGTTCGAGGACAAGAGGGAGGCGGCCATTGAAATGCTGTCAAAAGTTGGTCAACAGTTGATCAAACAGTCGAGCGGAACCGCTGATAGGCCGCGAACTCTGGAGGATATGGTCATCGAAGAGGATATCATGGGTTTTAGGTATGAATTTTTGTGATTTAATTGATTTTCAAAGAGGTTTGTAATCCATTATCTCAATTGCCTAACAGTGCGATCGGGTTTACGCTGTTTCCTGTGGCCCAACAGAAACGGCCACTGAATCCGCACCGCAAAGAGCGCAAAAAGATTGCCATCAATTTGATGGGCAATTCCGACATTAAGATTGTCATAACAATTATGCACGGCTTGAATGTGCCCATCAGGAAGAAGGACAACATCCCCGCCACCGGCGGCGCCATCGGGAGCGTAGGCTATGGCGGCTCCGGCTCTGGAGACACGGGTTTGCATTTGTTTTGTGTGTCAAATACTTTTGGCACTAATTAAACCACTTCTTCGGCAAAACACAGGTTTTCCCTATGAGTGCAAAGTGTGTCCATTCGTTGAGGCGGTGTTTCAAAGAGAGAGCGCCCGAACCAACACCGCTGAGGGCACTAAACCCACTTGGAATGAGACGTTTTCGCTTAAATTCAAGTCAGTGCTTAGCCATGGATTAGATAATCACTTCAACAGATCCAATAATAAAT